CGGCGGAAGTAGGCCACTATCATCCATATATCTTAGCTTTCTAGCTCGCGTTCCGTGTCTTTTATATTTTTAACAATGATTTTTTATACATTTTAACACCGTAGAAAATATTACAGATGTTCGTGAAGGTAATTACGACGAATTTACTATAATTATGTTGCTTTTGATCCTTGTAGAGAAATTGTGATTCTCAAAATGAAAATTCCATTTCTGATATCTGTACTTGTACAAATACATTGTTCTTTTATATATATTAATAAAAATTACATTACATTATTCTTTTATATTAATTTATCAGAATTTTAAATTAAAAGGTTGAAACGATGCAACAGGAATATATTCCAACACCTGTTATGTTTCAACGAACAAATTAATATAAATAAAAGAGTTTTCCATATTTTTCTGCATTGAAAATTTTCTTTCGCCCCCTTCACGTCACAAAAATCGAGCTGGTAATATTAAATCGTAATAGCTAATAAATTATTTCCATTATGAAAACATTATTACTCCGTATCGCGTTAGTTCCGAAACACTTGAATAATTAATTGTTGGCAGCGATTGTAACAGCAGGAGAAATCTTGTTACACGATTCTATGGCCTGCTAAAGTATAATAGGTTAAAAACGAACAATTCCCATTGAATTACGCGTGACACGTATTTACGGTATTAATGTTTACAAAGTAATTTTCGACATCGATCGCCGTTAATGCTTTTTACAGCGTGACTTTTATTGTCATTTCTGCGCGAAACGAAGATTCGTGTTAGGAGAATATACGAGCAAGGAACGTTCCCATCGATCGTCCCTTACGCAGGCGTTGAAATCTCCGGTAATACACACTCGCTGATCGAATCTGTCAAGCGTTAAAGTCTTCCCTTTCGATCTCCCTACAGCTTTTTTTACCGCGTTTCGACCGACAGAAATAACTTCCAAGGGTGCCATTTGTATTTAAAATTCAAGATACTCCATCTCCCCGAACTTTTAGCTCCGTATTCGGGAGTAAAGAATAAAACAATCGAAGCAAGTTTGCGAAGAAATTGAAGATTTTGAAATTCGTTTGACAATTCCTACACGCTATAATGTTTATATTTATTTATACAGAGGTACGTTTTTAGTTTTATTCGTGAAGAAGGACAGTGATATGCATAATTCCATGGAGAACAGAAGAGTGTTTCGTATTAAAATTTCTAAGTACTTGTGGAACTTGTTCGAGAAAGGTGCAAGTAAATAAATGAACGATAATTGATGGCATCCTATTTTTAGGTGCTGTATTATAAATTAACAGCACAGATATTTGAAAAGTAATGTAAAGAAATATATATCGTGTAAAATGTAATGAAATGAATATCTACGCACGAAGAAAAATGGCGGAGCACGGCCCACGGAAACGATAATAGGCGTACGATTCTTAATGCGATTTATTGCACCGACTCATATTTCGACAATAAATATCGATTATCGAAGCGAGCTTTCAGCCGCGGTGAACCACAGTATATTGAGTGTCTCGAATCTGTATGATGCATGGCGTGCGAAATGGGGCCGTGATATATTAAAGATATATGATCATAATCACCTGCCAGCCTATACGCTGTACCAACGGTAAGTACTTATAGAAAATGAATGGATCATGCACTTTCCTGATATATTTCAGGCGTTTAAGTATTAGGAACTTATAACGCGGTGATTAAATTCATGAACCGATTGTGCAGAATAAATGGAAAAATCATAGTCATATCAGTTAAGATTTATACAAAATTTGAAAGTAATCTAGTTTTTATTGTGCTTGAATAACAAATTACCTAATTTAATTTATAAATATCTTGTTATATCCTAATAATATTTTGTTGGAAATTGTTTTAGTTCAACAGACATAAGAACATGAATATACCGATTGTGCAGAATAAATGGAAAAATCATAGTCATATCGGTTTATATTTATACAAAATTTGAAAGTAATCTAGTTTTTATTGTGCTTGAATAACAAATTACCTAATTTAATTTATAAATATATTGTTATATCCTAATAATATTTTGTTGGAAATTGTTTTAGTTCAACAGACATAAGAACATGAATATATTACGATATTCCAATTACACCTGTCATATTTTTTATTCTTTAATTATATTTGGGAATAGACTTTTGTTAAAAAGGAAGTAATATTTTATGTCACACTAATAAGGTGGAACAATTTTACATTTTAAAGAGAGGAGAGAGATTTCACACGAAACGTGTAAAAATAAACATGTCTTTGCAAGACAGCAAATTTAATAAGGTAACGTCAAGGAAATGACAGCGTTTCAAGAGGTATTTTAATTCCAGCATCTTTGGAAAATCGATTTTTGTCGGATGTTCTTATATCTCGTGGTTTTAGAAATATGCTCTTAAAAGTTTTTATTAAAATCCGTAAAAATAACCATGAACGTTTTACCGCGCAGGTGTCAAGCATATTGCGTATATTGGCGGTGGCATCAGTAAGGCTTTTCGAGCTTTATTGAAAGTAAAATCGTATGAAGAAGACATTAGTATCGCGGGAAAGTCAAGCAAGGATTATATCCACAAAATTGTTAGATCGAGGAGCCAAAATGAGAATTTGATAGGAACTTCGATAATCATTTTTATTTTAATAATAAAATATTATATTCTATTAACGATTTAAACAAAAAACCTTGTCCGTTACTAGGGAATCTTCTGCCAGCCTTCCTTCACGGCGAATAACCATTTTCCATAACCACTTCGATAATCATTTTTATTTTAATAATAAAATATTACATTCTTTTAATGATTTAAACAAAAAAACCTTCTCCAGTACTAGGGGAACTCTTACCAGCCTTCCTTCACGGCGATCTCCGATAAAAATAAGTAACTTCTCTAAAATTTTCTCGATTTAACCCTATTTAATAATTCTAGCCAGTTCGTGGGAGCGGATGGTTCGAAGGCGTTAGGTTTTTACGGTTTTTCGTGCCCCGAATTGTATCAGCCGTGGACCGCCTTATCAAGATTTCGTCCGTTAATCCCGGTGAGCTCTTAGAGTCTCCACGCATCGAAATAATTAAAGTTCTCGCTTCGAGTTTGAATTACTTTTCCTCCCGTCCGCATTTTTCCTCGGCCCGGGGCCGCCGCGGTAACGCTGCGTTCTCAACGTTTGTCCTTAATTAATTATAGCCCCGTGGACGGGACGGGCATACGCGACCGGAGACGATCGCGTTAAAATAATATTCACGGTTTACCACGCGGAATGATAGTTATCCGGCTGATATATCGCCGGGGCCCGTTCCCCCCGAACTAAATTTCAACAATTTGCATAAAACGGGAGATACAAGCGCCCTGTAATTTCTAACTCGATACGACGAAACGATCGCGGCCAGACATCTAAGTTATAACCGTGGATTACGTTTGCCAAGAAAGCAATTCTGATACCCCCCAGCATACAAATGTTAAATGGCTTTTCGTTTATTTTCCGCGACGCTCCTCGAAAATGAAATTTCTGAATTCCGCGAGAATTAAACGGCGAACGCCTCTTCCTCCCTCCCACGCCTGCTTCTCGCGAGCGCGTAGACAATTTGCACGGAAAATTTTGATCGCCGAAAGGAAATTACTTGGTCCGGATCTCTTGGAATTACAAGAACATACTGTTCGTTTACAGCGTTTACAGCTTTCGTTGGATACGATTCGCCGTTTCCGCGAGGAAATCTTGTTCGGGGAACGTAATTCGCCCATGCTAATTATTCATCGGCGTGTAATGCTACTAAGCAGATAATGAAATTTCCGCGTTGGCTTCGCTACGCGGAACGCTCGCGAAAGAGTTTTAAACGAACATTTCTAATTATATTCGAGACTGTTCTTTTGTTTGTAAAATTTGTCAACTTTTACGATGTTGATCCAAAATCGTCTTACTGGAAAGAGTTTCATACACTTTAGAGCTTCAAGCTACACTTTTGGCCTTCTTTTACTTGCGAGAATTTGTAATTTTCTGGGAAATAGAAGTAGGAAACACGAATAGCGCTCTTCCACTTAAATTTAGAGCATCTTCGCGCATTTTATATAGTGATTAAGGGGCCTTTCTACCTTGTGGGATTAAAAAAATCGAATTTTTGTTTGCATTGTCTTTTAGTATGTAGTCTCGAAAATATATCTACCAAATATTAAATTGAAATTCGGAAAACTAACGAAGTTATACAACTTTATGAAACTTTAAAGCTGTTTTTCTCGAAACTACATTTTTCGGCACTGCGTATGTGATAACAGAAAAACTATTCAAGATATCAACAGGAAATTTATACAGTATCTTTAGAACTAGTCTCCCTATAGCATGAACTAGGATAATCGCGATATCTGCAATACTTTTTCTTTTATTAACAAAAAGGCAGCCGAATATATGAAAATATTCAGTATTTTTTCGTAAAATAGCTGCCATTTTGCCATTCTTTGTTCTTTTGAAATGATCCTAGTTCATGCTATAACCACACTCATCTATATTAAGAATATCGTTGGTTTTTGGATTTCGGATAACTATTTACGTTATTACGTTATTACATACGTACTAAAAACTGTTGTTTGTTGACCAACAAAAACAGCGTAATCAATGGATCTTATGCGTTGCAAAAATTCATAAATATAGCTAAATATATATTAAATGTATCTACAAAACACGGAATTAATCGCTCTTTAATAGCCCGCAAAAAAAAAAATCACAAAAAACATGTATTTTTCGTGCCTACAAGGTAGAATGGCCCCTTAATTTCGTGGAGCGAATTGAATCCATTCTTTTGGGCAAAATATGTAACAATCATTTTTTCATCATTCAAGTAACATTTTTAATTACTAATATCTTTGATGAAGATATTTGGAAACAGTTTGGAGAATTTGTTACAATTAAAATTGAAATATCAAGTTAAATGTCTCGAACGATTATATTTGCTTAAAAGTAAATCGTAAGTTTTCGCCGATAAGAGACTTTTTAGGAGTTTTCTAACCACTTTTCCTCGCACGTTTATGTTTCAGAACTGGTCTATGATTTACTGCAGGCATCCGTGGCATCGACAGACGACAATAATTTGTACATCGACGATGCTCTCGATGGATTTCCGGCTTTCGGTTTCCGACCTGGCTCCGAAGTTAAACAACCCTATCGATTATATCTCCCGGAAAAATTGCCAGCCGAGTTTACTCTGGTGGCAACTTTGAAGCCAATGTCCTTCAGAACCAGTTATCTGTTTGCAGTTCTCAATCCCTTCGAAACTGTTGTGCAATTAGGCATTCGAATTTCGGTGAGTACGAATCCTTAAGGAATTCTTTGGAAAAATCAAACTCTAACCATTAATCTGCTTCGATCATTACTCGCCTTGAACGATTCGAAATAAATATTTTATTCTACTTGTGTAACCGAAAAGCAGGAAACGTTGTTAACGTGATGATTTTTTGTAGGATTAAAATTGGAATATTTTCGGTCGAATGAGTTTATTATACGTGCTGATTCCAGAAACTGGGACAAGCTTTATCCAAAGGAAAGGCAGATAACGTTGATATAGGAAAAAATAGAACCCTCGATAGGGACTGTATTTTCATTATATTCCCCTATTTGGTAAAACGGTGCTTGTTTTTTTAACGAAACGACTTCGACTTTTTCCTGTTGAATCGATGACACGAAAATAAGAACTGAAAATAATTAGTCGAGCACATCTTGCTCCGCAACTTTAAAATATAGTTAAAAATATAAAATAAGAATGTTTGAACACCTCCATAAAATAATTTCCTTACACGAAATATACTATAATATTTTAACAATTTAATAAGTATTTCGTTTAAAAATTACACTGTCAAAGGATAGTTCCATTATAGTTTCACATTTAGATAGTGATTCAAGGTTTCTAATCCGGCAGTGAATGACATTAGAGCTCCGTTTTTACTGTATCGTTGCGTGTTTCATTGGAGAGATGGAGAACGTCCGGTTTAGAGATTTGCTGGAAAATTTAGGAATCAGTCCGGTCTGACAGGGTTAACTTCTCAATATCCCCGAGCGGTCAGTTGAATTTTGTGCCACAATAATCATTGTTTGTATCATGAGTTGCATAGAAGTAATTAGATTCATGCTTCGCGCGCGTTATGAAATTCACAGTCGAAACTTTTCCGGGGAACCTGATATACAGAGCGATTTTGGCAACTGGGTCAGTTTATAGTTCCGAAAGATAGAAAAAAATTGCAGAGGATAATCTCGTACGATACTTCTCCTATTATCCAACGATACCAGATTTCTGTACTTGACTTTTTTACATAAATTTATTACTCTTTCTTGGCTAATTAAATTATCGATGCTGATTCGAAGCGAGCCACAACTTGCAATCAAGAATTTGCAAGATATTTTCCCTTTAATATCTAAATTCAATGGTTTGTACAGAAAGCTGACTCGAACGTAACTAACTAAATTATTATTAACAAACGATTAACTAATAAAATGAACAACTTCTAAATACATACTTCACGCGAAACACACACACACATAGTCGGCAATGCCTTCGATCGAAACTGTCACATAATATAACCGCATTCATTCATTACAAACCTAAAGGTTGCTTACAAATTCTACATCAATTTTAGACGAACGTATAATAAATTTGTTCGTTAATTATTTCGTACAGAGCAGCGTGCAATATCGCTGTCGTAGGAAAACGGTGAGTGAAAACGAAGAAGCGTGCCCTTTAACGTATCGGTTTCCGTGTGTCGTTGGATCCATTCTCGGGGAAAGACGCATCGCATAAAACCGCGAGGAACTCTCGCGGAAAAAAACTAAAAGACAAGGACTTGAATATAAAGCCAATCAGAAAGTCGAGAAAAATTTCCAAGTACAATCGGTCGATATATAAGGAATGGGCTCCGACAGCCCGATAGACTTTTAAGTCGACGCTTCTCAATAGGGGGTTGGAGGGGGAGGGAGAGCATTTCCTCATGTTTCCCAATCCCTTCGAGGCCGTTGTTGCAGCTCTCGAGTCTTCAAATTTCTTTGAGATCTTTCACGTTTCTCGTGGCACCGTTTCCACGGGTAATACGACGTCTACGTGTTCTGCAGCAGAAGCAGTCGCCGTTTTCGACGTTTCGAGAGGACTCGATCCCCACGAGAATCGATAGCACCGTGCCACGACCGCGGGAAAACAGCTCGACTTTCGAATCCCTCGGTATTTTCGTTTGAGAGGACCCCGAACGCTATCACGAGATAATTTCGAGAGCGGACCTGGTTGCTGGTTATTCGATGAAAAATCTACCGACGCGGGAGATACCGTCCACTTCCACTTTCCATCTCGAAATAATTTCCAATTTCGAACATTTTTTCGCGGACCGTTAAATTAATCGTTCGCGCAAATTTAACGTTTCACCGTTCATTCCGCCATTCGTTATCCACGATTTTCAACGTTCGGTGTTTATATCAATTTGAACACCCTTTGATACGGTAAACAAAAAAATATACAGAAAAATTTTAATGGGAGATTCTAGGGGCTAAAATAAGACGAAAATCAAGGATACTAATTTGTTGATCGAGGCTCCGTTAAAAAGTTATAGAAACATTTCTGGCCACACGGTATATTTTCGGTAAAGAATTTTTTTCTCGAAAGTATGTAGGATTTTGGGAATATGTGTATTGACCAAAAATGATTGTAATTGACCCCCGCAACCGAAAATAATTTTTCCGTGAATGATTTGAAATTTTTTAATTTAATTTTATTAATAATTTTCGTCTTATTTGGCCTCCAGAGTCTTCCATTAAAATTTTTCCCAAGGGTGGTCGAGCACTCTGTATATATAGTCACTGGGTGGGTAAAAACAATTTTTACCTTCACTTTTTATAAATTTAATTAATACTTCTCCGTTACAGGACGGGCCGGGAACCAATCAAAACGTGTCGTTGATTTACACGAACTCCGATCAGAATTCGCATTCGGAGGAAGTAGCGAAATTCACTGTGCCGAAGCTAACAAAGAAATGGTCGAAGATCGTTATCAGAGTTTCTCTCACCGAGGTCACTTTATACCTTAATTGCCACGAAATGGCCAAACAAAGAGTGACCAGAATGCCTCCGGAATTAGTGTTCGATACCGCCAGCACGCTCTACATCGCTCAAGCTGGACCGCATATTCAAGAGAAATACGACGTGAGTACACACAACTTTACCACTTACGGATTCTTGTTCCAATTAATTAGCGGAACGGTGCTGAACCAGAGTGATTTTGACTCTCGATCCCGGAACTGAAAAGTCGCTTAATCTGTTCGATCAATTCGGCGCACATTTCGTTAGACTAATGGCAATTAGTTTTCGAGGTCGTTTGAGCAAACGATATTATGCTTGTTAAATTATTATAAATTTTAAAATTATATTGACCCCGAAAAAAAAATTGTTTCGATTTTGAGATCAGTGGTCGCGAATCAATTTTTAATTCAAAGTTTCGTGTTGTTTTTGCTCGCCTGTAAAATAAAGTCGAAGTAATTTTAACTCCGTTCGACTGCCACTTTCGTCCTGCGGAGCGCTCCTCCCGAAGGGCACTCCGTGAAAGTAACAATTACATTAAGAGGAAACGAATCAAAGGATCCTCCCAGGTTCTAAAAAGATGAAAATAATCGGTTAAACGATTCAGCACCGTTCTTAAACAACTAGCGAAACTTGCTTCGCGAGTCTCGTCGAATCCAAGCGATCGGCGAACGATCGCGGATAAATCCAGAAACGCAATGGTCAGAGAAAAGCGAGCAGAGAATCTCGACAGGTCTGGATCCTCAAGAATATTCTTTAGGAATTTAATATAAAATCGAGCGGAGTGACTAAATACGTAAGATGTAACTTCAAACGAACTGGTGTGGTATTGTTTCAAGGTAAGTGAATTAGGAAAGAGGGACGAAGAATAGGAAGTCCTATATTGGAATCCTTTGTGTCACCCTCAAAGGGTCATCGTAGTCATTGTTCTTCCGAAAGAATTGTTCGAAACGTTCAAAGGATATTCTCGGAGAAACAATTTGTAGAATTAAGAAATTTATCGTCTGCACTTCGTAGGAAATAAATTTTTCAAAAATCATTTCCCATTGCTTGCATTTCAGATTCGCGAACGCTCGAATATTAATACTGGAAATTTAATTTCCGTTTTCCAGCTCGAGTTTAGCACTCGACTTGACGAAATGGTCGCCTGACAGCGAAATATCACTTACATGTTTGATATTTTATTATTAGCGATCGCCCGAGGCAATTATTTGTTATAATTTCCGTAATATCAGTTAAGGATATTTATTAACGTTTTGACCGCTGTTATTTATAATTTGAAAAACGAAACGTTCGAAATATCGATTCGCTGGCTGTTATTTCAAGTCGACGCTTAACGATAATTAGTTTCCATACTGATTCATTCTGATTTTCCGTATGCCACGTACACACCTCGTAACGCAGAATAGAAAGATTTAATTCGGTCCTTTGTTAATTAGCCACTGACGATAATTGTTGCAATATGGCGCATTGTAACATTTCGTTATAATTATACACATAGTATTGCACCGGCCAACATCCGGAAATTATATCGTCGCCATTAATACCGTCCAATTTATCTGCGAAACTACTGTACTGGGTTTCCGCGTTTCCCGCGATTCTTAACAAAATTATTGAACGATTGTTATTCAATGTACGAAACGTAAAATGCAATGATCGAAAATTCTCTTACATTAGAGACAATAACACATTGATGATCGAACATTTAAAAAATAAATAAATGTCACTTGTATCGGGCAAACATTTGTCCTTAGTTGTTGGTTATTCACATTCTTTTAATCGTAATCGATATTTCTTCGATCCATATCAACCGAGCCCATTTTGATAATTGCAAATGTTTGCAATAATTTGCATAGTGGTCTTCACAAAGGGGTTTAGTTAATTGGATAAACGGTATTGCGACGATAGAAGCGGTATAATTCAATTACAACTAATGAAACGAATGTTTTACGATATTCGCGACAATGGGGAAAAGAGAGAGAATTTTTATGAAAAATGTACGAACAATTTTAAACGTTTTCAAATTTAATTCACGCATGTTTAAATATTAATAAGATGAATAAGTGAATTATACGAACATCGAGTTTAATTCTCAGTGTAAAATTGTAGACTCGAGTTAATAAAATGATCTTAAAAGTAATTCGTAAGGCTTCGAAAAAGAGAAGAAAAATTAGTCATTCGGTTTCGTATTTAAAAAAAAAGCTCGACGCCCGAAATACCGTCGCTAAATATTTGAATAAAATCGAAATAGACTGTAGACACGAATCGCGGTTAGCCGATCGATTGTATCTAAATAAATCTGTCGCCGGAATTGGGTCGAAGCGACGACTAAACCCCAAGTATAATAATTACTGTCGAACATACATTATCGTGGATTCGTTTGCGTCCTTTCGAACGCTTGTCGTCTTTGCTCTTTAATCGCGTCCACTTTTAATCTTTCTACGTTTCTTTCCCCTCTCTAGTTTCAGCCCGTGGACCGTACACACCACTTTTGCTTCGACGTTCGAAAATCACAAGGGACCGAATTCATTATTTCCACAGCCACACACACACACACGTGAACGCGCGCTACAGCGGCTCCTGCATATCCTTGCTCGTCGCTGATTGTACACCGGGGCTGAGATATGACGAATTCGTTCTGGCCCGCTGAATCGACGAAAATATTTCGACTTGCAGCGCGCCAAGTTCGTGTGCAACATCCTTTTGAAATCGGGGACAATCGGTCGGAACGATTAATCGACTATTTAATTCAATCCCGCGCGGTTTATGCGAAATCCTGGTCGCGCCTGAGCTGGACAGAATTTGATTGACAATTTATTTTCCGATCCGTTGATTCCGCGTTATTTCAAAAGCGTAACAGAAAACAGGAAAAAAAATATATCGAAATTTCGTCACTGCCAAACGTGCGATATTTGCGCCGGTTTCGAGTATCTTTTATTAGCGGAATTACACTCTTAAATTGCGGCAAATTAGCAAAGTTCCATTTTACGGGGCTGTTGTTATTTGATTGAAATCGCTCGAGCGCGCTGAGGAGAAATGAAAGAATATTTCGCGAGAGATGTTTTGATTTATAAATGCAATTGCTTCCGGACGGATCGTTCGTTGTTACAGAGGCATAAATCTGAAATATGCTTTTTAATTTATTTCGGTCGAAATGAATTATCTCTCGATTCTGTTTTCCTTTCTTTTTCTTTTTTTACCAGATTCGGGATACACCCGCGTGATTATTTGTTAAGGGGAATAAATTATCGTTCGTAGCTGGTTCGATTTTCTATCATTGTCCACACACAATATCACAGACTCAATTTACGCGACGACAAAACGGAACGCCAGCCATTGTCGAAAGTTCACATAACCGTTTCCTGTACACAACAAACACGGTGGTCACTTAGCACATTGTCTTGCTGGCGGGTCTGTTGGCGATTCGATTAAATTAACACGGACACGATCGTTCAATATTTTTCTTTGCTAACCAACAACATTTTAAGTACAATATTTAGAAGCAGTGATACGAAGCACGTGTGATACTGGTAATTTAGAGATAAAAGGAAGTCATTCATCCACAACTTTGTTTTTTCGATGCTTTATCCAAGTTTCATAAAATTGAAGGTTGTCGATTGGTCGACGCTCTAAAAGTGCCTAAACTTCGCATGAGGAAACGACGTTCACGGAAGTCGAGAAATTCCATTACAATAAGGGATGCAAAACTTGGATGGCGCTCGTTTCCGACCAATCAGAAGTCTCCGTGTCCGTGACGTCTCGATAACTTTTGTGTTTTTTAATGTACCTCTCGAAACAAATCTCACCACACAGAAATGGACAAAATTTTTTAGATTAAATCTTTTAATGTAATCGTGCATCATTTTTGTTTGTTCGAAAGTTCTGCTTGCACTGTCTCCTTTCATCGTTGACCCTTCTGGTTTTATGCTCGTTACTCCCGGGTTATTTGTATCGTAAAAAGTTTCGCGTCGAAGAGGATTCTTATTCAAGATTGAGGCATCTAAAATGCATTATGTTAAACAGATGGAAATTGGAAGGATACGTTTCGAGGGAAAGACCATTTAACACTATATGCTCGGCGTGCACCTAGCTTGGAGCATGTGGACTATCCAAGGCGCAGAAAAGGGAATTGTTAGACGAATAATTTAGACTACAAATCACAATAGTGTCAAAAATCCACTGTATAACCTAGCAACTTATATCCAGAAACCTTCAACTCACCAAGCTGCCAATAACACAGAAATTTCACGCTGATAACATCAGAGATAAAGCTAGCAGAAAACGCAATAAACGCGCAAAGATTTATGCAACGGTCGCGTTTAAACTTCAGTATTCATCGGTCGGAGCAGCTACCGAACAAGTTTTAAACTTATACGCATAAACGCAGCCCATGTTGTCGTTTTACCAACTAATTTCACCCGTTTCACTTCCTATCGGACCGTGGTTCGATCTAGGTCAAATACGTGTGGTTTGTTTTGCATTATTCGCGTTTAGGTAATATCAAATATTTAGATATCTGTCGAATTATCGTGCAAAGATTTTTCTTTCGCCATTTAGGGAATCATCGAGTACGTATTGAAATAATTTCTTTTTTTATTTATAGTCGCATCAACATTTAGGTCATTAACGACTACTACATAATTTACAGAGATACTAATTATATGGTGCCGATTTCTTTCAAAAATTTTAATGTTCGTTCTATCTTCTCTGGTTTGCCTACTGTTTCTTCCAATGTCGCTTCTATATTAAACGCTTTCCTTATTTCAGAAATTTTGTCGCATTTTTGCACGATGTGTTCTACCGTTAAAACTTCGTTACATAGATTACATGTGGGCGGGTAAAGATTTAGAAGATGGTAAGAGTATTGAAATAAGTGGTATCGTTAACTTCATAATTTTACGCTGAAATAGTTGCGTACGCGAAGAAGACTAAAAAAGGGAATCGTAGCGTAAAATCCTTCCGATCGTCAACGAATAAAAAATTCGGCGTGTTGGCTCGTTCGAATGCATTTTGCTGAAGAATGTTCGTACCGACCGTCGTTTTATCGTCCCGTCGCATTACATCGTATACATACCGCAAAATACGTTTTTCTTTTCGAAGAAGCGAACCTCTTCGCTGGCAACCCA